GCAATTTATTTATTTTAAAGTGGCTCTATTGAAAGTAACTCTATTTTTATGATCATTGAAATCGATTTTGTCTAATTAAATAATTTTCATAGAATATATTCTTTGCATTAGCGGTCAAAATGACGCTCTGGTAGTCATAAAAGATAAAAAAGTTTGATAGTTCTCTCTCTCTCTCTAGTATAATTATATGATGATTTACTTTTTATACATATATGTAAAGAATCCGAAAAACATATAGTTGTACAAAAAATATAATATATATAGTTGTATGAAAGATACAACATTATTAAATTATACATTTGCGTAAAATGCAATGTTTATAATGCTATAAAAACGATTCAATTATCATATAGAAATAATATTTAGCATAAAACAAATTAATATTTATATAATGAGATAAAAAAGGTGAATATTTTTTTACACAGTACCACCAGATATGCGAGTTATTCGAGGATGCGGATGGGATGAATCAAATTATAAAGGCAAATGTTATCAACGCAGTGGCTTTGGTGGTAGACAAGAAGTTTGTTCCTGTTTAACTGACTATTGCAATTCGGCAATGCCTGGATCCGGAATTTGGTCTCAACGTCTTATTTTTTCATGCATCCTGATCAATCTATTGCTAATGTTTTCGTGGAATTAGATATTTTTAGAAAATATTCGAATTCGTTGGATTTAATTATATAATGAAGATTAGAAAAAAAGGTTATTAGGAATAATACTAATAATAGTAAGATTAATATCAGCTTTTTATCAATGTAAAATTGAATAGCAGATAATTAAAGTAATAAAATTATTATCAATGTATTATATTAAAGCGCAAGAAAAAAATCGAAAAAACAATTTTATATTATACAGATAATTAAGAAAAACGGCCATATTTAGCACATGAGCACGTAGTTATAAGTATATGCGCAAAAACAAAGCAAATTCTATCTAGTTAATTCTTGGACTTCTTGATCTCAGTAATTATGCTGAATTGATCAAGCTTTTAGCTTACTCGATAGTTTGGATTTGAATTATATTTAAAAAATGTTTTTTTTTCTATACATGTCGTATATGAATGACGATCATACGAAGATCTGAACTGATAAATTTTTAATTAAGAAATGTCATCTTTATCGTCCTTAAAAAATATTATTTCAGTCTTTGACGTAATATTCACAATGCTTCTTTTAAACATAAGACGGTGTTGATATGTTTGCAGTTCATAGTTTGAATTATACATAAATTTATATGAAAATAGAATATAATAATAAATAAAAAGGAAGATGTAATTAATATAAAAAATTATAACAAATAAATATGTTGCGATTATCTTGATGAAACACAATATCTCTTGGTCAAATAGCTTTAATAGAAATTACGTTAACTATATTTTATAATAAAACAGACTTTTTTACATCGAGATGAAAATATTTTAGTAATTCATAATAAAAGTGAAATTCATTTCAAATAATTATAGATTTGTTCGTGTTGTTTGTACTTTTTACATTCATCATTTTCTTTTTCTCTCTTTTCAACGCAATATATGTATCTATCTCATTTTAAGTTCAAAAATTTTTAAGATTTTTGAGAAACAACGCGAACATATCTTATAACTTTTAATCCTAGTGATATTTTAGAATATGAAATTTATTATTATGAAAAGCAATTTTAAAGCGAGAAAAAATGGGTGTATTGAGCAAATCGTAACAGTTGCAGATTGAAACTGTTTTATGATCATCTGCTGAGATAGGACTATTCCTCTAGATCTAAAAGTATAATCCAATAAGTGCGAAGAAAAAATTCGTTGGCAACTTCCAACAGTTGCAAAATAAACATTCTGCTGAATGCAGCAGAAAGAACCTACGAAAGAATAAATTAACAATTCACCTTTAGTACAGTCTATTCGAGGAATATCACAATAATTATAATAACATTGCATAGATATAATGATATACTTGTAATATTCCTTGGACGAGATATGCTATGTGCTACCTTTAAAAAAAAAAATAAAAAAGGCGTCAAAGATACGCACTGATTAAAATTATAACTTTATAAATTATACATATTTTAATTCATTCAAATATATTTCCATTCAAAGATATAATATTTCAGTTTCAACTCAAATAATATTCTTTATTTCAATATTAAAGCACCAAAAATTTATTTAACGTAAAAAAAACTTAATACTGTTAGAATATGTTTAATATATAGTCGGTATAACTTCCTGATATTATCATTAAATAATATTATTAAATTGAAAATACTATTATTTAAGAAGTCGTATAAGAATGCACTCTTAAATAATGGGAATGCAAAAATCATTTGGATTTTGTATTTAATTGGCGTACGCATGCACATACATACTTGAAATATTATATATATTTTTATAATATTAGGTGTAGTAAAAAGAAATCCATTATTTTTCCATTCAATTTCATGCAAAAATAATGGATTTCTCTTTACTATACCTAATACATCATTATCTTTATAGATAAGAAACATTATTTATTTTTTTTTTAGAAAAAAAGAGTGAAGAAGAATAGAGATCAAAAATAGATGCAGGTAACGAAAAATTTTATCTTTAAAAAAATTAAT